TTTTATTTAATTTTTTTAGCCAAAAGGTCTATTAGACGCGGTCTTTCTAATTTGCATATATATTATTTTTTTTAAATTTCATTTATGAAACTATACTAGGTTTGCTCGACCATGCAATAAATATATTTTGAGCTAAATATATGTCGAGCGTTTAAATAGAGCTTGTGATCATTCGTTCCTTGCTTTCTTCGAAAAAGCTTTAGATTGAATTCAGCACTACATATGATATTCCATCTGAGTAAATTGAAGAATTCAAATTGTTTTATCACATCCTTCTATGGTATTCAATTCAACGAAGTGTCGACAAAGCCATGTTTTTTAATCTTGCAATAATTAAAATATTAAAACTAGTGCTACACCAATATCAACATTACTACTGTAATAATTCACTATAGCAGGTTTTTTTTTTGCCCCCTCATCAAGTGACGATTTAATCTTAAATACAAAAACCTTGGATTAATACAATTAGTTTCTCAATTGGTTTTTAGCCATTCCTCAATCTCAGAACAATTGGTTCTTTTTAATCCCAACTTGATATGATTGATCTTTACCTTTATTTATGTGTAATATCATTCGACTAGAAATTTTATCTTTCATCCGATGAAAATTGTATAATAACTAATTAAAATAGTAGTCCTTTTTGTCCATATCAAAATAGAATCTTAACTAACCCATTTAAGAGGAATTCCTGATAAGGTAACTAACTTTAAATAAAATGGGATCAATGATAAAAAAAATATATATAATATATAATAAATAGAGAATATTAGATCGATATATGAACACTTCAATATAAAGACAAGAAATGTCTTAGCATGGGAGTTTGGTCTCCCAATAATTAGGGTTTTTTGGATGAGAACAAAACAAAGGATTACGACAACACCTTGCATATCTTTCTTTAAAGTTTATCTACAAAACATAATTAGTAGTAAATTATAGAGACATAAATGCTCAACGTGGATAGTATATATTGCAAAATGAAGCAGTCATTTTGTGGTCCACTGCATTTGAAAAACAAAGAAAAAGCAACGTGTTTGACTAGAGGTTTCCTTTCTAGGGTTAAATTGCAAACCAAGAAACCTATCTCTCTCATCTCTTTTTCTTCTTGTGGTGGGCTTGTGAATGGTGAAAAATAAAAGTGAAAAATGATTTTGATTGGTCTAAAGCTTTAGTAATCAAAAATAAAGTTACAACTAATTGGTTGCGACCAACGAGAGCTCCTGACTGAGATCGCTTCACCCTTAACCAGATTATTTTGTGTTCGTACTTAGGGAATGAAAAACTTGTTGGTACAGAACACTTTACTTCTTTAATTGGCTTACCCCCACCCCCACACACACATATACAAAAAAAAAAAACTGTATTAGTCAAGCCAATAGATTTTTAAATATCGAATTGTTTAAAAAAAAAAAGCCTAATTAGTTGCAACTTTAATTCTGTAAATTCAATGTCTATCCTTAGAGCTTATCCATTATATGCTCGTGCAATATTTATATTACGAGGGTTAGTAATTAATTAAATTACTAAGCTTAGTCATTTTGATCAACATGATCGAGGGGCTTGCATGTTTTCTTCTTTAATTATTTTTGTTAATACCATCGTTATAATAAATAATTGAGGAATTTCATTCATTTCCTTGTGAAAACTTTGTCAAAAAACTAACTTTTTCTAGTTTTAGCTTTAGGGGTTGGTTGAAGTTTATCTAGCAATTAAAAAATTGGCTTGATTAGGTGTGCAAGTTTGTCATGGATGATGCCATTGTTTTTTAGTGGCTCAAAGCATTCATACCCATTACTAATGAGGACCTACAGAATATACCCTCCTAATATTAAAAAATTAATTAATCAAGCCAATAGAATAAGAAAATTTGGATAAGTGGTGTTTATCATGCTGGATTATAGAGTATAATATATAGATGTGGCTGTATTAAGTGGACTTGACTATGTGCCGCCGTACAGATAAATCACTTACCTTGTTTTTTTTTTTTTAAAAAAAAAGTATATAAAACGCGTATTACTCTTAAATAGTTTGAATAGGTCTGTTATTAAATATATTACACTAAATATTTATTCGCATCGAGTGTTTGTATCAAATCGATTTAAGTTATCAAGAAAGGAAAGGGGGGAAGAGAATTAGAAGAAAATAAGAGGTATTCTAGCAATTAAACTATCATTCAATTTCTCTATTCTGTTTTGGACCTTTGAATAGAGCCCAAAAGATGAGAAGTCGAAACCAGTGTCAAAATATCAAATTTTCAGCCTTGACTTCTTGCCTTTGAATGGCCAATAGCCAATTGGGCCTTTCAGACAATGTGCATGTGTGTGTAATAGCTGGCATTCTGAAGTAGAAGCGAAATTCATGTGTAAAAAAAAGATCTTGTTTTGATGTTGTGTGTGAAATATTAGTGGACTCATTTTATGTTCTCTACTAGAGGAACTTTCATTAGTATCACATTTTAAAATAATATATACAGAATTCTAGCACCATTAAGTATATATTAAATGAGGCAGTGTATTATTTACATTAGTAGAATCCTAAGAGAAACTGACATCCTTTATTCTCCGAGACTATCGCAGTTTCATCCCAAAAATATCTTCAAAGAATTAGGACTTTAATTTTATCTCCTTAAAATTTCTTGCAATCATCTTCTAATCATATTCATTGCTAACACATCATTTCCCTCCCGCCCATAAATCATGTTTAATTTCCCCCATATTCATTTCCAAATCAGCCTCTAAATAAATTGTGCAGTATATATTAAGTATATTTTATATATATATATATACACGTCTATTATATATGCATATATACACCCATATCTTCTATTTTCACACTCAAATTCGATACCCAAATATTATACCTAGCCTAAGCAAATATTAATTAAGTTGCAAATAAAGTACATATCATTTTTATACCTAAAAATATATGGTATATGTTGATTGTGTTTAGGTATTTTAAAAAATTGCACTTTCCCTCAAAATACATGGTATATTCTATTTATTTGATTGTGTTTAGGTATATAAGTTTTATATATTTTGTCTTAAAATACGTGGTATATTCTATTTATTTAATTGTTCTTGGTATAACATGGTATGCTAATATTTTACATTTATTTTTTATGAAATGTATTTAGTATAATATTGGTATAGTCGTATTTGCAAGGAAAATACTTTGAATAATATTGTTATAGTAATGGAATGTGGATCGATTTAAGATTGTGTAAGGGAGAATAATGAAAAATAGGACTTTTTTTAGAGCACCTATTTGAAGCAAAAATTCAAAGAAAATGAATAATATAGATTAATGATGAGAGAGAATCTTGTGAAAATTAATGTGGTTCAATAGTCCCTTAAATTGTGGTTAGTGTTTACGTTTTAAAAATTAAATGCCACATAAAGAATCTTTAAAAAAATGCTATAATTGTAAATGAATCTGCTATTTTTAAAATAAAGCAAAAGTAATGTTATTTATATAAATGTTCTTTAAAAAGAGACTAACTGTGTTAAAATCTCTATAGGTAGGTACTACTAGTGGTCAAATTGACATATTATCAAATGTAGAAATAACGTGGGATAGTCATTTTTTAACATGGTATTTAGTTTTTATTCAGTATTTTTAATATTGAGCAAAAATAGCTACTACTCTATTAAAATTAATACGAAAAGATGATTTTACCCTTTCTTCATGAATGCTGTGTAAATATTAAGGACATGGTGTCCTTAACAATTACACTGCACACATGAAGTTAAGGACGCATGTCTAACATTTACACTGCAGATATGAAGTTAAGGACTTGACAGGACACTTTATCCTTAATATTTACACAGCATTCATGAAGTTACGGACACCATGTCCTTAATATTTACACAACACTCATAAAGTTAAGGACACTATGTCCTTAACATTTAAACTGCATATATGAAGTTAAGGACATGATAGTAAGGTGATCATCAATAAAAGAAAACAATGAATAGTCATAAAAATTTACTACCAACAGAAAGCGAGACTACGTGCCAATACTACTGTTGTGAACATTCTAGACTACCTACTCTAATACCCTAATTTTCGACCTTCATACCTTTCTATCCAGGTCATGTCCTCGGTCAGATGAAGCTGCGCCATGTCTTGCCTAACAATCTCTCCCCACCTCTTCTTTGGCCTACGTCTACCTCTTCGTAAGCCCTCCAATATCAACCTCTCACCTCCTCACTAGAGCGTCTATAGGATATAAGACTTGTTATTATTGTCATTAAGATAAAATCTAAAATCTCATTTAAACTAGAATATAAAGAAATTTTAGTCACTTGTTCCTTTCTTTGTTTATATTGTTAAAATATCATGGTATAGCCAGTTTTCACACTGGTCATTGAAAAATAGCCAGCGTTTATCAAGTCAATGAAAAATAGCCACTATTTTGCTGCAACAGGGACCGGTCCAGTATAATATACGGGAGTTCTGGTGCATTTGTGCACGAACTCCAGCATATTATGCTGGACCGGTATACTTTGCTAACTCCTGTAAAATTTGCGGGAGACTGGAGCACCAATGCTCCAAACTCCAGTATATTATACTGGACAATTATACTTGCTGGAACTCCCGTAAAATTTGCGGGAGTTCCAGCATAATTATGCTTGAACTCCCGTAAAATTTGCGGGAGTTCCAGCATAGTTATCCTGGAACTCCCGTAAAATTTACGGGAGTTCAAGCATACTTATGCTGGAACTCCCGTAAAATTTGCGGGCGTATTTTTCCGGATTTTGAACAGTGTTTTCGCTCAGATTTAAAGTGGCTAAATTTCGATGACTTTTGAAACTTGGCTATTTTTCAACGACCAATGATAAATCTGGCTATTTTTTAATTTCTCCCGTTTATATTAGATACATTCAGATGCCCGGCCTATGACCCTATTTTGTATTAATCATAAAAAGGAATAGTTTGGTAAAAAAGTAAAAACAACGTAGCCGTTAGCACCTGTCCCGTGAGTTAGTAAATACGACCGTTACATTTCCATCTCATTCAAATAGTTCCAACAAGAGAACCAAAACACGCACACACACAGAGAGTTGCTTGCAGAAAAAATGGAGGAAGAAGAAGAGAGAATGCAAAATCTCAGATCCAAAGCCACAGAACTTCTACTCAGAAAAGAATTTAAAGACTCCATAAAAACCTACACTGAATACATCTCCCTTTGCCATAACCAAATCTCAAACACCCACAAAAATCTTGATTCAAATAACCTCTCAAAACTCAAAAAATCCCTCTGTTTAGCTCTCTGTAATCGCGCCGAAGCCCATTTAAATCTCCAAGAATTTCCTCAAGCTTTAAAAGATTGTAACGAAGCATCCGAAATCGAAAACACCCATTTCAAGACCCTGCTTTGTAAAGGTAAGATTTTGCTCAGTCTTAATCAATATGGATTAGCCTTGGACTGTTTTAAACAAGCAAGTCTTGATACCAATGAGTTTGAAAATTCTGAAACTCTTAATGGGTATTTAGAAAAGTGTAAAAAGCTTGAATTTTTATCAAGAACTGGTGCTTTTGATATATCAGATTGGGTACTCAATAAATTCCAAGGAAAATCCCCTGAGTTAGCAGAATACATAGGTCCAATAGAGATTAAAAAATCTGAAATTAGTGGGCGTGGTTTGTTTGTAACAAAGAATGTTGATTGTGGAAGTTTGCTTTTAGTTACTAAAGCTGTTGCTATTGAGAGGGCTATAGTACCTGAATGCATTTTTCAAGATTCTAAGGAACAAGCTCAATTAGGTATGTGGAAAAGTTTTATTGAAAAGATAGTGGAATCTGCTAAAAAATGTAATCGAACGCGCGATTTGATTTGTAAGTTATCAACTGGTGAGAATGAGGATGATTTTGAGGTTCCTGACATTGATTTATTTAGGCCTGAGGTAGAAGATAGTAATTTTCTTGATGAGAAAATTGACATGAAAAAGTTGCTAAACATTCTTGATGTGAACTCTCTTGTTGAGGAGTTGATTTCATCAAAAGTTGAGGGGAAAAATAGTGATGTACATGGCATTGGTCTTTGGCTTTTGGCTTCTTTGATAAACCATTCTTGTGATCCCAACGTGAGGCGTTCCCACGTTGGCGATCACGTGATGATCCATGCTTCTAGAGACATAAAAGCAGGTGAAGAGCTCACATTGGCCTATTTTGATGTGTTTTCATCCTATAGGAGTCGCGAAGAGAAGGCGAAAAATTGGGGCTTTATTTGTAAATGCAAAAGGTGTAAAGTTGAAAATGGTGTTTGTTCAAAGCAAGAAATGATGGAATTTGAGATGTTTGTTGGGAAAGGAGTAGATATGGGAGGTGTAGTTTATAGATTGGAAGAAGGTATGAGGAGATGGATGGTAAGAGGAAAAGGTAAAGGGTATTTGAGAGCATCATTTTGGAAAGTATATTCTGAAGTTTATGAATCAGAAAGATTAATAAGGAAATGGGGAAGCAAGATTCCAATTATGGAAAGTGTGGTGGATAGTGTTGTGGATGCAGTAGGGAGTGATGAGAGAATTGTGAAGGTGCTGATGAGAGGATTAAAGAGAAAGGAAAATGGTGGTAATGGTATTTTAGAGATGGAAAAAGCAATGAAATTGGGAAGAGGATTGTATGGGAAAATAATGAAGAAACAAACATTGAGGACTGTACTATTTCAGCTTGCCAACTAATTGCAATGGTTATTAAGGGCTATTGCTTATACCCTATTTTCAAGATTAATCAAGTTGATTTTTTTTTAGTTTTGTATTTTTAAGTTCAAAATGTATCTCACGGTTAGTTCTTTTTTATTTATTTAATTTCCAACTTTTTATTTTTCATTTTACAAAAAGTTATGGAGGATGTGCTTGTAGAAATAAGTTGAAATTGATTCACAGTTCAGATTGGTAATGTTGATATATTTTCATTCTTATTCAATTCAATTCTAGCTATTTTAGAAGTTGAAGTGTTCTATAAGCCAAAAAAAAAAAAAGGAAAAAAAATAATAATTAGAAAGGGGTTCTAAATAAGCAACCGTTAGAAGAAATGATGCTTTCCCGATTCAAAGATTTGCATGCAATGAGGATCTCAATTTCGTGTATCTAGTTAAGTGAGTCTCGCAGAAATAACCTCTTTGTAAAAATACAGGGTAAGACTATGTACAGTAAACTCTTGTAAATCGGTCTTTCCCCGGACTCCGCACATAATGGGAGCTTACCATTTTAGTTAAGGTGAGGCTTACCCACCAGCTTTCATTAGTCGTTATCATTAGTCGTTAAGATGTATTCTGAAAATTCTCATACTACTGTTGTGACAATAGGGGCATGATATGATACGGGGGAAGTGCACAGTTAGCCACTAATTATAGATGTCTTTACTCTTTAGATGTCTTTAATAAATTTTTATTCGCCTGGACGAAAATACCCTTGCGCTAGACATGGGTGCTATTAAGGACATGATGTTCTTAACTTCATGAATGTTGTGTAAATATTAAGGACAAAGAGTCCTGTCATGTCCTTAACTTCATATGTGCAGTGTAAATATTAAGGACATATTGTCCTTAACTTGTGTTTGCGCCTTTTGTTGTTAAACTTTAGGACCTCATGTCCTTAACTTCATATATGCAATTTAAATGTTAAGGACATAGTGTCCTTAACTTTATGAGTGTTGTGTAAATATTAAGGACATGGTGTCCTTAACTTCATGAATGTTGTATAAATATTAAGGACAAAGTGTCATGTCAAGTCCTTAACTTCATATCTGCAGTGTAAATGTTAAGGACATGGCTTCCTTAACTTCATGTGTGCAGTGTAATTGTTAAGGACGCCATGTCTCTAATATTCACACAGCACTCATAGAGAAAGGGTAAAAATATCTTTTCGTATTAATTTTAATAGAGTAGCTCAACATTAAAAATACTGAATAAAAACTAAATACCATGTTAAAAGGTGGCTATCCCACGTTATTTCTACCATCTTCCACTGTAGAGAAACATCTTTTGCTTCTTGGTTTCTACAAGGGAATGAAAATAAACTGAACCGAGATTAATTAAGTACAACATATATCGACTCATAGCCCGTTAGACCAAGCTTCTAAAATCAGCTTATTTTGAGAAGTGCTTTTTTCAAAAGTACTTTTAAAAAAAGTGCTTTTGGTAACGTATTTGGCTAATTAATTAGAAAAGCACTTTTGAGCGGTAATTAGTGTTTGGCCAAGCTTTTGAAAACTGCTTCTAAGTGTATTTTTCTCAAAAGTGCTTCTCAGAAAAGTGCTTTTGGAGAGAAGCTACTTTTTTCTGCTTCTCCAAAACTGCTTCTGCTTCTCTTCAAAACACTTTTTTTCCTTCCTAAAGACTTGGCCAAACAACTACAAATTTTACGGTCCAAAAGTGA